TTCAACCATACACCATGCGAGGTAGCCTCAAAACAGGATACGAACTCAGCTTCCATAGTGGAAGTAGCAGTCAAGGTCTGCTTAGCACTTCTCCAAGAAACAGCTTCACCAGCTAGCATGAAAATATAACCAGATGTTGATTTTCTTGAGTCAATGCAGCCAGCGTAGTCTGAATCGGAGTAGCCAATCACCTCTAAAATATCATTTCTTTTGTACATGAGCATGTAGTCCTTTGTACCTTGAAGACATCTCATTACTTTCTTTGCAACTTTCTAGTGGTCTATACTTGGATTACTCTGATATCTTCCCAACACTCCAACAGCAAATGTTATGTCAGGTCTGGTACAAACCTGAGCATACATAAGGCTTCCAATAGCTGAAGCATATGGAATGTTCTTTATGTGTTCCCGTTCAAAATTATTTTTAGGGCACTGACTCAAATCAAATCTATCACCCTTCACAATAGGTGCTATACTCGGTGAATAATTCTTCATGTGAAATCTCTCTAGAACTTTATTGATATAGGTCTCTTAAGACAAACCCAAAATACATTGAGATCTATCCCTATGGATCTTAATGCCAATGACATAAGATGCCTCATCCATATCCTTCATATCAAAGTTCTTGGAGAGGAATTGTTTCACCTCATAAAGTAAATCCCTATCATTAGTTGCAAGTAAAATATCATCCACATACAGTACAAGAAAACAAATTTTACTCCCACTAACCTTCTGGTATAAACATTGATCCATGACGTTCTCTTCAAAACCAAATGAAGTAATAACTTCATGAAATTTCAAATACCACTGACGGGAGGCTTGTTTCAAACCGTATATGGATTTATTTAGCTTGCAAACTAAGTGCTCACCATCACTAGAGGAGAATCCTTCTGGTTGTTTCATGTAAACCTCTTCCTCTAGATCACCATTAAGGAATGTTGTTTTTACATCCATTTGATGTAACTCAAAATCAAAATGAGCTACAAATGCCATAATTACTCGGAAGAATCCATTTTAGATACAGGAGAAAATGTTTCCGTATAGTCAATTCCCTCCCTCTGAGTGAACCCTTTGGCAACGAGTCTTGCCTTATGTCTCTCAATGTTACCTTGCGAGTCTTTCTTTATTTTGAAAACCCATTTACGTCCAATGGCTTTTACACCATTAGGCAACTCAACGAAATCCCAGACTCAATTAGATGCCATAGAATCCATCTCATCTCTCATGGCATTATGCCACAAGTTCGATTTCTTAGAACTCATGGGTTATGAAAACGTTTCAGGATCATTTTCGGCTCCAATGTTGTAGCCCGATTCTTGAAGATACACAACATAATCACTAGGTATAGCTGATTTTCTTTCTCTAGTAGACTTTCTTAATGTTGTTTCAACATTCTTCTCAAGAACATGTTGTTCAACTGGTTGTACACCAATATCTTGTTGTTCCTTATTTACAACTTGATCTACTTGATCATTATTAATAGCTTGTGGAACTTCAACAATTGGTTGTCTAACACCTGTTTGTCCTTGAGGAGTGTCAATAACAATCAATCTGTCACTTGACCTAGAGGGTTGAGCTTCACAGTGATCCTTTTCTAAAACAATATCCCGAAATTGATCACTCCCATTGATCAAGTCATACTCAAGAATTTTTGCATTTCTTGATTCCACAATCCTAGTGCTACGAGATGGACAATAGAATCTATACCCTTTAGACCTTTCAACATATCCAATAAAATACCCACTAATGGTCCTTGGGTCTAACTTCTTTTCTTGTGGGTTGTAAATTCTTACTTCAGACGGGCATCCCCAAACACGTATATGTCGTAAACTTGGTTTCCAACCTTTGAATAACTCAAAAGGCGTCTTTGGAACAGCCTTGGTTGGAACTCTGTTTAATATATAAGCAGCCAACTTTAGAGCTTCAGTCCATAATAATTCAGGGTGTTTCGTGTTACTCCGCATACTTCTCACCAT